CAATATTTTATGGATATTCATTGGACTCTGTGCCCTTGTCTTCCATTTTATACTCTTGTACCTTGTTTATAAACACACCTGTTCTCTTTCTCCTTTGGTGTGTGTATAACTGGAGAGGATTTATTTATTTTGGATTCTGACATTTTAACTTCTTTTGAATATAAGTCCCCCCCTTTTTTTTTCAAGCAAAGAAACAGAATCAGCCTCAGGATTCGGTCCTCCAGGGATCCAAGCCAAGTCTGGAGATCTTCAACAGAATGACATGATAGCATAGGGGCTAGTCGTAGGTAAATAGCAACTCGAAATAGCAACTACTTATATTTATTTTTTTCTTTAGGGAACAGCCAAAAATTTAGTCTTTAAAGGCATTGGTGTGGATCTGTCTGTAATATTTTTTACTTTGTTTTTTAGTGGCAAGATCCAGAAATTTTTTTTTTTTTTTAAGCCACAGAATAAGTTTTCAAAGTATAAGCACTGTCTCTGATAACCAATTCTTGGCCAGCTCTGATCTGGTTTCCCAAGAGGCTAGCCTGCATATAATTTGGGTCATTCTATCCTTTGTAGACCAAGATGTTCTGTCTATGATGCCTTTAAAGATTGGACTTTTGGCTGTTACCAAAGGGAGAGGATTTTGTTCCTTATAACCCAGGGATCCCGAGACAGAGTCCCTCCACAGCCTCACCTATGACCATCAGTAACATTTTCAAAATGGCACCTTTCAAAACAGAGTGGAGCTCATGGTCCTATGACTAGGTCCTAGAAGTTCCAGGATCTAGTGTCTTAACACCATGCTCCTTGGTTTATCTGTCACTGATGCTTCCACATGTACTTTTGCTGCTTTCATTCTTTGCTAAAATAGATTCTATAATTGATATCTCCCTCCGAAGATCGTGACTTTCCATCTGGGATGGATTTTTTTTTTTTTTCCCCTTGGAAAATTCTTCCTGGGTAGTCCAGAGGGGTTGGAATAGCTCCAAGATTCTCCAAGACTCACACCCTTGGCCAGTCTCTCTCTTTTTTTTTTTTCCTCTTCTCTGAAAGTTGTGAATTTGACCTTTTCATTGGTCACCGAGATTTCCATATTCGGCTACTTGTGACTGAGACACAAAGGGCTTCGAGAGGGAGGACAGCCCACAGAGTTCTATTTGAGGAATGCCAAATGGTTCTCTGGGGCCCAGCTGGTATTGCTGTCACTCGCACGGTGCCTGAAATGTGCACGGCTATTTTTGTCAAGTTATAATATTATTGCTCACAATAAAATCTAATATTAAAACCAAATCAACATTGCCCTCGGGGAGGACAGAAAACTTTCAGAGCTGCTACTTGTGTGGCTGGAGGAAAAAATATCAAAAGTTCTGCGCTTCAGTTTCCTCATCTGTAGGATGGCCCTAATGATAAGATCCACCTCACAAGCGTGTTGGGGAGTAAAGTGAGTTATGGTTTGTCAAGTGTCAAGAAAAAAGTGACCTGTACAGAGTGTCATTCTGGTGTTTGTAAGAAAAAAGAAGAAAAATTTCCTCTGCTTTTCCTTCCCACTTGATGCCAGGCAAACAGCTCAAGGCAGGAAGACTTCGAAAGGTAGCCATAAAGAATTTTCCGGAACTTCTTTTTCTTTTTGTACTGGGAATTGAACTCAGGGGTGTTTAAGCACTGAGCCACATCCCTAGCCTTTTTTTTTTGTATCTTATTTAGAGACAGGGTCTCACAGAGTTGCTTTTGGGCCTCGTGAAGTTGCTGAGGCTGGCCTTGAATTCTCAATCCTCTGGCCTCAGCCTCCTGAGCAACTGGGATTACAGACTTGTGCCGCTGTGCCTGGATCCTTTTGTTCTTCTTTGATGAAATAATTGAGTTTGAATGCTTCTATTAAACACACCTGCCTCCTGCTAAAGTGGCCCGAGAGTGGAAAGTCTGGAACTTTGCTGGGTCTGAGCTCTTGGACACAGGTTTGAGGTTTGCAGAGGAGAGAGTCAACGAGTTGAATTGGGGTGGTTTTGGAACTCTGCTACATGTGATAACACCTCACCAGACCCCCAATTATTAAAAGTTGTGGTCTCTTTTGAAAGGGTTTTGCATATGTGTGCGCCCTGCAGGGTTGGTCTGGGAAAAAAATCAGAGGTAAGAGAAGGACCTGGGAAATCACAATCATTTTTAAATGAAGCAAAGTTTGTCTCCCCCTGAAACAAGCAGATTCACTTTTTTCCTGAAGTGACATGTCCATGCGTGTGTCTGGGGTTGTGCTCTAGACCAGCCTCCCCCAGCTCCGAGACTGGTGGGGCAGCTGTGGTGGGCCATGTTGCCACTGATCATGGCCCAGGGACTCGGAGCAGAGGGTTGGACCCAGATTCTTAAAGAACCCACCCAGCTTAAATGTCCCTGGCCAGAGCCTCGGCATTCTGCACTTGGAGGAAGCAGAGAGGTGCCGTCCCCCTAGTGTTTGGCAGAAAAGGGATGGTTTGGTGAAGAGCACATGCATGGAGTCCTACCAGCTATCGACTCCTGGAAAGTAAAGACTGTGACTCATCCTCTCTCTTTTTCTTTTTTGGGTGGGAGGGTGCTTACCCACTGAGCCACATCCCCAGCCCCTCTTTTGTATTTTATTTAGAGACAGGGTCTCACTAAATTGCTTAGGGCCTCACTAAGTTGCTGAGGCTAGCTTTGAACTCGAGATCCTCCTGCCTCAGCCTCCAGAGCCGCTGAGATTACAGGCATGCGCCACGGCATCCAGCTCTGCCTGTCTCTAAACACCAGCTTATAGTAAAAGTGTGATAAACCTGAGGTGACAGGCTCGCTGTGAAGCTTTGTGACTGGAATAAAATGGGCGCAAAGGACCAGAACACTTAGTTGGTCTTCCCTCCCCTTGTGCTGGGATCTAGACTGTGGCGTTGGTTATCTGGGTGACCTGAACCCTCCTTGGCCCACTGTGAGCCTCAGCACCTGCAGCTGAAAATGTCCTTTGTAAAGATGGACCAAGAAGGCATGTGTGAAAGCCCAGGTGTGTGAAGCTTGCCTGGTGCCATCTCTGGGGGCCTGTAGGTGCCCATCAGCATCTGCTAAACGGCTCCTCTGAGACCTGGGGTCCCCAGGCACATCCCTACATGAATAAAAGCCTTTGAAAGGGTCTGTCTGATTGGTTGAGGCATTGATATGTGTCTCTCTGTGTGTAATTTATTATATATATATATATGTAATTTTTATTGTAGAAGGACACAATACTTTTATTTATTTACTTATCTATATGTGGTGCTCAGAATCGAACCCAACGCCTCACACATGCTAGGCAAGTGCTCTACCCCTGAGCCACAATCCCAGCCCCTGTGTCTCTGTGTGATTTAAATGCAGGAATGCAGGAGGCAGTCATGGGGGTGGAGTGGGTCTTTGGAAGAGGACCACTTTTAGATCATAAGGCTGGTTAAACCCTCTTGTTAAACCATGATCAGGTGACAGGGATGGTATTGGGGGTATTAATTTTAAAGTCAGGATTACTTAGGGGTAATTCATAATCACCCTTATCAGGGTGCAGTGCTAAGAGCTTGACAAATTCCCTTGTGCCTGTTTGTGAACGATCTCCTTTCCCACCATGTCCCTGGCATCCAACTGTTTATTTATTTTATTATTATTTTTTAAAATAGAATATCAGGAAAGCTTTGACCTTTGAACCCAGGTCAGATAATAAACTCTTTTAGCATCCTGTATCCCTTACTGTAATGATAACTATGTGGTGTTTGGAAAAAGTGTTCATTGTCCATCTTTCCTGCTGGAGACTTGTCAGCATGCTGGAAGGAGGGGACTGTCTGGTCATTCTTCTGTATCCTTGGCAGCGTCACCGAGTGAATGCTCAACAGACATCATAGAATGAATGAATGAATGAATGAATGAAAGACTCAGTGTCTATGAGGAAAATGCTCTATGTCACTGTGGACTTAGCAAAAGCAGTTGGATATTCATGTATCATGTTGTAAACCACGGCACATGAGTAAAGGATGATCCAAACATTTCTGACGAGTTATACCAGTCTGAATATCAATAATCAGAACCATCTGAGATTCAGGATCAGTATAATCACCCAATTACAAAAAGAAGGAGAAAAAAATCTTTGATCATTGGACACCGTGCTCAGACGTTATTTTATCTACCCTCATATTTGAAACTGTCACTTGTCATTTTTTTGCACTCCAAATATCTTGTAGTAGATCTGACATGACGGTGACGCTCAGGAGCAAGATCATGAAGTCCTCGAAATCAAGCTTATTTTCTGTGTGCTCCTCCAGCTCAGAAAGGATGTCTTGGTAGTTTGACTTGGTTTCCTGTCCCTGTGAGAAGGAAAAAGGAAGGAGGAAAAATCTCATTCATTGTGAAAACCTTGGGTTTACAGATAATAAGCACAGAAAAAATGTTTTCAACAGATAACATGCAGGTTGTCACCCGTATTACCAAAGAATGGCGTGAAATCTCTTCTTGGGCCGGGCATGGTGGCTCATGCCTGTCATCCCAACAGTTTGTGAGGCTGAGGCAGGAGGATGGCGAGTTCAAAGCCAGCCTCAGCAATGGAGAGGCCCTAAGCCACTCAGTGAGACCCTGTCTCTAAATAAAATACAAAATAAGGCTGAGGATGGGGCTCAGTGGTTGAGTGCCCCTGAGTTCAATCCCCAGTACCCACCCCTCCAAAAAATCAGTTTGTGGGTTATCTCATTTGATCCTTGCAGGGACCTTTCTGAAATATGTACTATTGTTGTGCCCTCTTCTAATGCTGCATCAGAACTTAGTGATAACAAAGCAGCTTTGGGTATGGAGCTAAGGTGTGTGCACTTGGCTACCTGATCCTAGAGCTCTGGCTCTAAAACCTGCTGTGCCGACCTGCCCTTTTCTTGAACACAGATATGGTTGCATTTTCACTTTTTTATGGGAGGCCTCCGTTATGTCTTTACCTGAACTGTAAGACGATCCTGCAATACAGGAAAAACGATGCCGAAAGAAAGCAGGTACTGGGGAAGCTTGTTCGGCATTGAGTTGGATCCTAAATCAGATCCAAGTTTGTGGTCCTCATAAACAGACCCAAGGAAACTCTCTGAGTAGCATGTGAGTGGAGAGGCTTCTCAGTGTCAAGCCCTGGATCAATGAAACATAAACGTCCTTTGGTTCTTCCACCCAGCTGTTCCCTTTGACTTCAGCCCGGGTGCTGGCTGCTCAAAACCCTCCCAGGAGGAGGGAGCACTTCGGGAATGAGGGGGTGCTCCCTCTGCGGGCTGGGACCCTGCTTTACCAGCTTTTTCCCTGCTCTGACTAAAAGACCTGAGCAGCACAACTGCAGAGGAGGAGAAGTTTAATTGGAGGCTCAGGGTTCAGAGGTCCCAGTCCACAGACAGCAGGCTCCATTCCTC